TTACCCATGACCACTCAGTGCCCCAGTGTGTCACTGCACAGACCCAAATTCAGCAGGGCCCCTGCCTACCACACTTTGTTGTGGGGGCTCCAGTATTTGCCAAACATCCAGCTCTCCTGGTCATGTATTGACCTTCGTATTGTTAACTGGTTCACTATAATCTACAGGATAAAATCTAAACAACTCACAGCTATTAGAATGGCTAAAATAATGACGACCAAACCAAGTGTCGGTAAGGAGGAGGAGCAATTGGAACTCAAACACTGCTGGTGGTAATGTAAAGTGGTGCAGCCACTTTGGAAAACAGTATGGCTGTTCCTCAAAATGTTAATCGTAGAGTTTACCCCATGACCCAGCAATTCCACTCCTATGTTTATACCCCAAGAGAATTAAAAATATACACCCACACAGAAACTTGTACATAGATGTGCGTAGCAACATTATTCACAATAGTAAACGGAATAACCCAAATGCCCATCGACAGGTGAATGGATAAACAAACTGTGGTATATCGTTACAGTGGAATACTACGTAGCAATAAAAAGGAACAAACTACTGACGCGTGCAACACTGATGAACCTCAAACAATGATGCCAAGTAAAAGAAGCCACCCACTTTCCCAAAAAAGAATATATACTGTATAATACTATTTATATAAAACTCTAGAAAAAGCAAACTAATCTATAGTGACAGAAAGCAGATCAGTGTTTGCCTGGGGGAAGCAGTGCTGGATTATAAACGAACAGAAGGAAACTTCTGGAGCAATGGCTTCACAGGTATACACGTATGCCAAAACTTGTCAAATTGTACACTCTAAGTACATGCACTTCATTATATGTCAATTATACCTCAATAAAGCTACAAAAGAAAAAAATAAAAGAACACAAACTCCTAGCCCTGGCCAAGAAAGCCCCGGGTTTCTTCTGCCATTACACCATGGGGTACCACCTGGGCCACCCATCATTATTGCCTCATGCTGTTTCAGTCCAAAAATGATGCAGCACAAATGGTTAGTGACCCACTATAGGAAGCATTCCCCTTGATAATACTTGTCCCTTTCAGCACTGCAAGCCAATAAGACTCCAGCTATAGACATTGGGCCACCTACGACTTAGTTATGTTTCTAGGTCTGCCTTCCCAAAGGCTGGCAGAGCCACTAGAGCAATGGTGTGTCTTGGTTACTTTTGCATTCCCAACTTAGGCTGACAGAGATTATTATTATTTGGTACACAGTGATCTCCCCACAGAAGGGGACAGCATCTTGGAGACCAACTCCTTATGGAACATCATTCCTATAGCTAACAATTACAAAGGAGCTACTCCATAAGCACTAAGTTAGGTACTGGAAGCTAGGCTCAATGTCACTGAGAAACTGACACATGTCCAAGCAGTTCTAAGACAGCCTGATAAAGCTGAGTAACTGTGGGGAATTACAGGAGGGACACTTAAGCCCAACGTCGAGGGTGGGTTCTGTCAGGAAAAATGAAGAATGGCCTCAAAATGGGTGGAGTGGAGGGGGAGGTGGGAAATTTCTCCGTAAGTGGAGCACCACATGCAAAAAGGCCTGAAGGGAGAAAGAGTTTGAGTTAGTAGTTTAGCTAGAATTTGGAGTCTTGTTTTCATAGAGGTGATCAGTGAGACATGGAGCTGGAGGTAGGCAGATGTAAGGTGGTATAGGCCTGCTGAGGCATGCAGAGTTTGGCATTGCTTTAATTTCTAAAAGACTCTAGAAGACAATATGGAGCCTTTGAAAGATTTTAAGCTGGAAGGTACCTTGTTCATATCTGTGTTTCTGAAAAATAACATTGGCTGGTGTACAGAGAAGGGTTGAAAGCAGGGCAAAACCAGAGGTAGGTAATTCCCTTCCTAGGGGATTGCTGTGGTCCTGGGGCAGTTAATGGCTGCCCCAGGGAAGGTCAAGCAAGGAGAGGCGCGGCAGGAAGATGGGTTACACTTCTGCCCCTACCATCCACTTTCCAGTAGACTACCAGCTTCTGTCCATAGCATTCTAAGACAACAAAGTTCTTGCCCTGAAAGCCTAACCAGAAAGGCTGCCTCTCACCTAGGTCACTAACTCCATTAAACCAGCACCAGC